AGGTTTCTCTGCTTCAGCAAAGCTGGTTATAATGATTGCAGTAGACCAAAAGCCTGTTAATCAGCTTTCAATTAAAATCAGCTGTGCTGGAGCAAGGAAACCTCTAAAACCTGTACAGTAGGACAGGGGGCCTTGAGGACCGAGTTTGGGGATGCCTGCCATATATGATTAAATGATGAAATGTTCTATAACTGATTAAAAAAAGAAAAGCAACAGAATACAATGAAATTTCAAACGTAGCTCACTGTTGAGTTGTTCTATTTTCAGAAGACTCTAAGGGCACCTCTTGTGGTCCTTGAGGGTCCCTTGGTGCCCGTGGGCACCATGTTGGTGACCCCTGCACTAGACTAACACTCTCTTAGTGTTGGGGAGTTATTTGTTTGAAATAACTAAATAGTTCAGTTATAACAATTATTTAGGGCTGTGGTTTCCCATCCTGCTCTTCAAATGCCGCTAGTCTATAAGTTTTAGGCGCCTCCTTGGTGTCACACACCTAACTTATATGAAGTGCTGATTAACAGGCTCCTTGACGGCTGCTGAGGACCTCACTATGATTGGAAGCAGGTGTGCCTAAACAGAGATGCATCTAAAACATGCAGAGCAGTGGTATTAGACAACCAGGTGTAAGACTGCAAAAACAATCAGGAAATGAATAAAAACGTCTTAAATTAAGTGTATTTACCCTTGATTTGAGGATAGTTTGCCAATAGGATGAGCATTTTCACTCTTAAAATAAGATAATTAGATAATATGCACTTGAAATACGACAATACAACTGTGTTTTTTTATTTGAAATGTAAATTGTCTTGTTCCATTGGCAAGATGTCTCTTTTTTCTCCTTAATCCAAGAACAAATCACTTATTTAGATTTCTATTTTTCCAGTGTACTGATCTAGGGAAGAAACGATTGATTGAATCAATTTCAATTAATGAATGCGTGGGGTAATCTTGAACTAATTCACTAATTGAATCTGTAACTGGAAGATACAGATCCTGAAAATCTGAAAATTTTGTGATTTTCAGTGATTTTGCTGCAATTTATGGAATGGAAATGTTCATTTCCTGTCTGAAAAGCTGTACTAAACAAAATGTTGTTTTGTTTACCTTCTGTGTCTACAAAATGACAATAAAAGTTGTTTAAGTCTAAAAAGTGAAACCTGTCATTTTCTGACAAACACCAAAATGTACCAAAAAATAATTATATTCATTTTAATATTAGATGCAGGGGCGGATTTACCATTAGGCAAAACTAGGCAGTTGCCTAGGGCCCCAAGTTCCTGGGGGCCCCATAAAACTCCTTTTCCATACAGCTATTACTTATTTTTGCACATTAATTATGTATTTAATAAAAATCCCTTAATTAAAACACCATCAGAATGCTTATAATATTAAGCGTGTCTCAGGCACAGGTGTATTCAGCGACTTTTCAGACCCCTCTAGCGCTTTTATTTCAAAAAAATTCCTAGCGCCAAATCTAGTGCCTTTTTTCTGCTACTGGAGACTTTGGCGACAGCATATAAAAGCAGCGAACTCTGCTCTCCAGAGCAAGTAGATTGGTAACCCCGCCTCCTGCTCTCCTCTGTCTTGTCCGTCCGCTGTCATGATTCATGCAGTTTTTATTTCATGCAAATGAAAAATGGAGAGCAGATAAGCAGATCATAGCTTGTCTACAGTGGAAAGAAGGACTGGGTTATTTACTTTTGCTGTCGCCTTTTTGGAAACACAGGAAGGAGCAATCGGTTAAGCGAGCTTAGTTTCATTCCTTTTGAAACGACATGAAAAGTCAGCTGAGTACAAAACAGAGGAAAAAAGAATAGGGACAAAACGTAGAACAAATAATGTATGTGTATTATATTAACATTTCTGTATCTGTGGGTCTGTTTTATGTTTTGTCTTCTTAATTCAGAGGGCCCCCTGCCTGTCTTTGCTTAGGGCCCCAAATTTCCTAAACCCGCCCCTGATTAGATGTAAATGTTTTTTTTTTTTTTGTAAAAATTCGCTATCCTATATGATGCCCTTATGTGGCATAGATTAAATAGTTTTTTTTTTCAAATTATCTTTTGAACAGACACATAACTTTCTTATGTTTTATGACATTTAATTTCCTTCATCTCTTATCTAAAAAAAAATAATTCAGATCAGGTAATAAAGTGAAAAAACTGATTCTAAATTAGTTTTTAGGTAGAGATGACTGGTGATGCTGCCATTTTTACCTACCACTCTATGTTTATGCTTACTTGCAAAAATGAAGCATTTTTAATTTTTTCCAACTGCAACAACAAGCTCATCATTTTGAACAGCAAAAACACTAAATAGAAAATAAATATTGGCATAAAGGCCAAAGTGCACTCAGAGCCGGAGTTTGTAGCGTTTCAGCCGCTCGCTCTGACACACATGCGGCGGATCGCTCTGAAGTAAGTAATGGCACAAGCCAAGCCTGTCAGATGAGAATCATCTTAATTAAATCCCAGTGACAATTCTAATAGGAGGCAGCCATGACTGATGACTGGGATGAGCTGCTGGTCACATCACTGGAGTGCACTCTATTTTTACCCCCTCTCTTCACTTCGTCTTCCCCCACAATCTAATTTCCTCGCCCTCTTTTTTTTTCTTCCCATCCCTTGTTTTTACTTCCTATCCGGTTATCTCCTCACACACTCCTCCTTTTACTGCTGACCCCCAATTTTCTTTTTTCCTCCAGATTTTCCAGAGTTTCTTTTCTTTTCGTTGCCTTTTTTCTTTCCCACTTTCCAAGTCATCAGTGATGAATGACATTCATGAAACAAGGGCAGCTGATAAAGGGCTTTAGGACGTGAAAGATGGTCATGAGGGATTCTTGTTTTAAAATTTGAATAATATAGTAGAAAAAATGAAGTTTTACCTTCAACATACTTCTCTTACTGCTCTTCAAGTGTTTTCTTGTTATTTACTTTAGTTGTTTTTTTGTCTTCTTTTTGCTGTTTTTTTCTGTTCCTCTCATCTCATGCAGGTGGAACAGAAGCAGACATCTAGAGTTACTGTATATTAGTGTTGCGCCGATGCAGATACTTGTTACCTGGCTGTGCAG